GCAGTGGCACAGTCTTAGCTCAAGTCAAGCTCTGCCTCCAGGGTTCACACACCTGGCCTATAATTAACTTTTAAAACTGTGCTAGTGGAGGCTGGGCATGGTGGCTCACGCCTGTAATCCCAGCACTCTGGGAGGCCAAAGTGGGCAGATTGACTGAGGTCAGGAGTTCGAAACTAGCCTGACCAACATGGTAAAATCCCATCTCTATTAAAAATATAAAAAATTAGCTGAGCGTGATGGTGGACGCCTGTTTGAGACTCTGTCTCAAAAAAACAAAACAAACAAAAAAACCAAAAACCTTGCTAGTGGCCAGGTGCACTGACTCACACCTGTAATCCCAGCACTTTGGGAGGCCGAGGCAGGCGGATCACCTGAGGTCAGGAGTTCGAGACCAGGCTCACCAATATGGTTAAAACCCGTACCTACTAAAAATATAAAATTAGCTGGGTGTGGTGGTGCATGCCTGTAATCCCAGCTACTCAAGAGGCTGAGGCAGGAGAATCGCTTGAACCCAGGAGGTGGAGGTTGCGGTGAGCCGAGATCACACCATTGCACTCCAGCCTGGGCAACAAGAGCGAAACTCCGTCTCAAAAACAAAAACAGAAACAAAGAAAAAAGAGAAAAAAAAAAAAAAACCTTGCCAGGCCGAGCTTGGTGGCTCAGACCTGTAATCTCAGCACTTTGGGAGGCCTAGATGGGAAGATCGCCTGAGCCCAGGAGTTTCAGACCAACCTGGCCAACATGGCAAAACCCCGTCTCTACAAAATAATAATAATAATAATCATCATCATCATCATCATCATCATTAGCCAGGTATGGTGGCATGTACCTATAGTCCCGGCTACTCAGGAGGCTGAGGAAGGAGGATCGCTGGAGCCCAGGAGGTCGAAGGTCAAGGCTGCAGTGAGCCATGATCACACCACTGCACTCTAGCCTGGGTAACAGAGCAAGACCCTGTCACAAAAAAAAAAAACCTTGCTAGTTTGATTGGCATGTGTCAGGCAATTTTTTTTTTTCTTGAGACGGAGTTCTACTCTTTTCGCCCATGATGGAGTGCAATGGCACGTTCTTGGCTCATTGCAACCTCCACCTCCTGGGTTCAAGCGATTCTCCTGCCTCAGCCTACCAAGTAGCCGGGATTACAGTTGCCCGCTACCATGCCCGGTTAATTTTGTATTTTTAGTAGTTATGGGGTTTACCATGTTGGCCAGGCTGGTCTTGAATCCTGAACTCAGGTGATCCGCCCACCACAGCCTCCCAAAATGCTGGGATTACAGGTGTGACCCACCGTGCCTGGCCAATTGTTATTATTATTATTTTGAGACAGAGTCTCACTCTATCCAAGCTGGAGTGCAGTGGCACCATCTCAGCTCACTGCAACCTCTGCCTCCCAGTTTCAAGTGATTCTCATAACTCAGCTTCCCAAAGTGCTGGGATTAAAGTCGTGAGCCACTGCACCCAGCATTGTCAGACGTTATTTACAGACCTTATTTCATCTTTATTTTTGAGACAGAGTCTGGCTTTGTTGCCCAGGCTGCAGAGCAGTGGCGCGATCTTGGCTCACTACAACCTCCGCCTCCCAGGATCAAGCAATTCTTCTGCCTCAGCCTCCTGAGTAGCTGAGATTACAGGCTTCCGCTACCACACCCAGCTAATTTTTGTATTTTTAGTAGAGACAGGGTTTTACCATGTTGGCCAGGTGGGTCTCCAACTCCTGACCTCAGGTTATCCACCCGCCTTGGTCTCCCAAAATGCTGGGATTACAGGTGTCAGCCACAGCGCCCGGCTGGTGTAAGCCGTTTTTATTAACTCATCCAGGACCTGCCTAGAAAGTCTCCTACTCCCCTCTATCAAAAAAAAAAAAAAACCGTTATTTTTCTTTTATTTTTTCAAAATTAAGGTATGACTTACATAAAGTGCACAAATCATAAGTGTCCTGCTTGATGGATTTTCTCCTCATTTTTCAAAGTCCCATCATTCTCTGGTTATCCCAAAATCATTCTCTTTTTTATCTACCACAAATACCCAACTGTCTCTTTAAGGGAACTTCTTTGAAAGCCGTAAGTGCTTCCTGCTTTCCTGTAATCCCAGCTACACTCGGGAGAGTGAGGCAGGAGAATCAATTGAACCCGGGAGACGAGGTTACAGTGAGCCGAGATCGCACCATTGCACTCCAGCCTGGGCGACAGGAGCAAAACTCCGACTCAAAAAAACAAACACAAACAAACAAACAAAAAACAGCTTACACTTACTGAGCCCTTACCACAAGCTGAGCCCTTC